ACCTGGCCGGCCCGGATTTTGGTATCGGGTTTTCCATTGGTTCGGTATTCGGTTCGGTTTGGGGCTCGGGGATCGGGGCCTGGGCCTTTTGGGTGTTGATTGTTGCTGCTTTTCGTTGATTAGCATGCCCATGTATTTGTGCTGAAGATATCGCGCTACTCACTACACTACTACTGCCTGCCTGGCCTGCCTGCTTCGTTACGAAACCCCTCCACATATAAAAAGTTTTTTTTATTCGAAATTTATTTATATTTTTTTTTTGTTGGTCGGCTCTGTGTGCCACTTCCAAAGTGCTTTATTTATTTTCAAAATCAAAAAAAGGCTTAAATTTTTATTTAAAATAGACAAGAGTTGTGAAAAAAGAGGCTATTTTGGAAGGCTATTTAGAGTAGCTTGGGAAGTACTCTATTTTTTAAAAGATATATGAAGCCTAAGACCTAGTTCCTAGTCTTAAAATCTAAGAACCATGTGCCGGTAGTTTGGTTTCTTTTTTGGTTTTCTGATTAAATTTAAATAGATTTTTGTTTTTTTGTATTTTTATAGTCATGTTTGTTTTTCGACCCAAAACCAGAATTCTTTGCCCGCCAATACTGGCTTCTCAGAAAGCCACATTTAAATGTGGTTTCCAAGTAGCAGTTTCCCCCAAACATCTGCTGTTAAGAGCTTTCTATATCCATCGATAATGTAGCTAGCTAGAGCTAGCTAGCCTAGCTGGCCAGACCACACAACCGAGATAACAATGTCACGTAAACAAGAACGCGCGCGCAAGTCAAGTAATCTAATCGGAGGTTGTGTGTGTGTGTGTGTGTGTGTTTGTCTTGCCTGGAATATATAGAAATTTCGATTTATTTTTTTTTCTTTTCTTTTTCTGCCGATTCACGGTCAATGTTTTTCCGATTTCAAGGGAGAGGGTTACCCATTTCCGCTTCTCGAACTTGTCTATAAAGAAGGGTTATGCAATAAAGATCGGTCGTTAATCGTTCTTCCAGTCTCTCAGTCTCCCAGCTCCCAGTCTCCTTGTTGTTTTTTTTGGGGTATTTGAACAGGCTACAAGTTCAATGTACGCACCTTTTGCTCACTTGCCCCGATATATATTTCAGAGTTCAGTGGCCAGTGCTTTTCAGATAAGCTTAGAATGAATCTATATCTATAGACCGATATATTCTATATCTGGTACGATGGAAACTGCCTTTGTTTTTCCCATTTTCCAGTAAAATTTGCTTTAGTCACTGGTCTTATGTGGAATATAACCTTTAACTCTTACTTTTGAGTCATTTTCCCTTTCAATATTGATTATTTTTTTTTTATCTTTTAACTCCAAGTTAGGTAGTTAACACCTTTATTTATGAATTATTCCCCCACTTGACGTCTTCCAAGTGACTCACACATTCAAATGAATGAGAGATCGGTTCGGGTAGTGGGTGCTGGCTGTCGTTTCTATATCTGGACTATAAATAGCCTCTCTGCCTGAAAGATAAAATTGAAAATATTGCCATTTTATTATATAAAATAGTAGATGTCTCTCTCTCTCTCTCTTTGGTCTCTCTGTCTTGAAAATGCAACTAAAAATGGGGAAAAACAATACGAAATGTTTACGAGGCAATGTCCAAGGCGTTGTTTCGTTGGGATTCCCGTGTGGGCAATTACCAATAAGGCCCCCACTCCCAGTCTCAGACCCCAGTTTGCCAGCATTATCGTCAATTGATTATTCACTCCAGCACATACATATACATATAGCCTCCTATACTCTCTATAGGTTATAGTCTCGTATTTGTTTGTTTGTCGAATCAGTTGCACTTGTATTTCTGTTTGCGTTTAGTAAGTGCCAAGTCTGTTAATTAGTCGAGGCTTTTAACTATTTTATGATAGCTATAACTGGAAATAATATCCATTATTTAGTCTATTATTTTATTTATTTCTTTAGTTTCCTCAAAGTTGGCCTTTTCACGCTCTAATTTCATAACAAACGCTTTCCACTCCCCTACTGATAACAGAACCATATTTCATTTCTTCTGATAAGGCTTGCAACTCTGGCAACTCTGCAATGATTTGTGAACTCTGCAACTCTGCATGCAACGGTACATAAGGCTATATATATATACAAACATATGCCAGCTGAGAGAGAAGAGGCCCGTCTGAGGTTGTTGCTGCCCCATTTCCTCGTTTGGTTGGGTATTGTTATCACTGGATGTAGTTTTTGTTCTTCTTCTTGTTCTTCTTGTTGTTGTTGTAAAGAAGCGCAGCACAAAGAAAACTGCTCGTGCACAGCTGACAGCTGCAGCGTCGTTTACAGCAAGCGAGTGTGTCATCTATTTTTCACCCGTGAGATTATACATTTTTACATATGGCACCTACCTTAGTGGTATGCAGCTAGTAGCCAGCCACCTAGGGGATTGTACTGTCTCTCTATCTCTGTCTCTGTCTCTTGCTTTGACTATGTGGTGGCGTGTGTTTTTCTTTTCTCTTTCGGCTTCGGAATCGGCATCGGAATTCCATTGCACGCGTTTTTCTTTTTGTTTTTCCTTCTTTTTTGAAAACGTTTCCATTATATTCCGTAGGGAACTCACTAGGGGCATGAGTTTACGTGGTATTTGTGACGAAAGATAGTGCGACATTTTTTTTAGTAATTGATTATGAATAAGAAATGGTTTGCAAAGCGATGCACTTTGGGAGTAAAAAGCATTTTTTACTAGACCAGAAAGTAACTATGCCTTTTTAATAATTGTAAAGTATATAGTATCTTAACCTGTGGGAATTCCATTTATTAGACTTTTATACCCTCTAATAGGTTCTAATAGTAGCGGGATATCTACTAAAAGTAGATTGTTTATGGTATTTGTGGCGAAAGAAACTAGGCCATTTTTAAGAATTTTTATGAATAAGATATAATTGGCAAAGCTATGCGTTTTGGGAGTTTGTAAGGTACTACAGATAGGTACTTTAGGTACTATAACCTGTTTGAATTTCAATTATTAGACTTTATTACCCCGTATGGAACTACTCTTAGACGGTTTCTGGTATTTGTGACGAAAGATACTAGGCATTTTTTAAAAATTGATTATGAATAAGAAATAATAATAAAAGAAAGAAGTCTCTAAGAAAGAATTGAGAGTATTTATAACGAAAGATACTCTAAAATACTTAGATATAGTTGACAAAATATTGAATATGATGAGTATATAGTATCTGAGTCGGTAAAGCTATGAATTTTGGAATTATATAGTTTTAGAATTCCATTTATTAGGACCTGTCCCTGTAGGAGACTTAAAGAATGACTTTTAATGGTATTTGTGACGAAAGATACTACATCATTTTTAAGAACTGACTAGGAGTAAGCCTTATTTGGCATAGTTTTTGATATTGGGAGTATATGGTATCTGAATTCCAGTGATTGGGCAACTAAATGCAGGCTTATTTTAGACTTTGTGTCAAAAGTTACTCTTAAATATTCAAAAATAGTTGGCAAAATGTGGCATATTGTGGGTATTATAGTCTCTATATCCTAGATCCTAGATCTATATCTAGATCCTTTTCCTGTTGGGAACTCAAATCATGACTTTCAGTTCATATGTGGTATTCGTGACGAAAGAAACTAAGCCTTTTCCTACAATTGCTAACAAATAGGAAGTAGGACAGTATCTACCTGACTCCCAGGCACCATTGGGAATATTTTTTCAGGTTTATTTGCTTTTACCAGGTACTTATTAGTCGATCATCCCCGGATGCTTCCTCCTTGATTTCTTTTGGTGGTTGCTTAGCGGTTGACGACTTTTGTTGTGCCTGCGGCCAGCTGTTGTCGAAATCCTCGCATTTCCTTCTTCGTCCTTGCCCCCTGTCTCTGTCTCTATGTCTGTCTCTGTTCCTGTCTTGGCTTGCTTGTTCCTCACGCTTTGTTTGCCCTTCCTGTCGCCTTCCCACCGCTCCGCTCAGCTCCCCAGCCCAGCTCAGCTCACTTCCAGTGCATTGGCCTTTCGGCGTTTGGCTCTCAATGCTATTTGAACGGCGCGGTTTTGTTGAAAACTTGAAATTGTGTTATTGTTGCTAGGTTGGTGGCTGTATTTCTTGGTTGCTTTATATGCACAGTTGTACATATTTAATTGCTTAACTAATTTAATCCTTCAAATTAGCTTCCACACCTTGGATGCTAAGGATAAAAGTTAATTTTGATGAACAAGTTCTTAGGTTTTCGAATTAATTAATTAATTATCCAATCTATTCTTTAAAAAATCTTAATTGATGAGGGACTTTACCGTTTTTTTGTGTGAAACAGTTTCTGACCAATGGAATGCCTCTTTCCCTCTCCCTCCCACGAGCAGGTGTGTGTGCTCGCCCTTGACTGTCTTACCCACTCTGGTTGTTTGGAAAAAAGAAACAGAGTTTCATTGTGGAATACTTTCGCACTTACACACATACCCCAAACACCCGTTTCTATATGTGTTTGTGTGTAAGTGGCTTAAATTCCTAGCGAAAAAAAAAATGACAAACAGGGGCAAGAGATAAGCCAAAAGCCAGGCAAGTAGACAGATAGACAGACCGAAAAAAAAGGCACGATGAAAAATCGCGGCCTCTTAGAAGATTCGCTGCTCTACGGTAAATCTACCTGAAAGCGGAAAATTTTCATATGCAAAAATGTCAAAAGTGAACAAACCAAAAACAACATCCGAAATTATGACTGAGAGTCTCGGGGACTGTCGCGTGCTTACCGCTCTTTCATCTTTGCGCTTATTTGTTTTTTAAGAGAGCGAGAGAGAGAGAGAGGCATCCATCGGGTTGGAGAGTCAGCGAGACGCGATAACGAGTTAACCTACGTAGTAGCCGTCCTCCGCAACGTAAACACAAAACAGCTGTGATGAATAAAACGTATGATCGCGACCGCGTAATGCAAACAAAAAGATACTACCCATAATAATAATAAAAGCAAAATAAGAAGGGGGAGTGGAAAAAACGATATCAAGTGCAAGGCAAAACAAATGCTAAGTGTTCTCTTTTTATCACAACAGTGTAGAGTGAAAATAGGATCAATAAGTAACATAACAATTACCAGAAACGCAACGAAATTGGAACAAAACGGAGCAGCAGTCACCGAAAAGCAACAAATACCAACAACAACAACATCGCCTGAAACAAGTACGCAAAAAAATGCCTAAAACCAAAACGTGATTTTCTGACTAAACATAGTCACACTTTTGTAGACAAATTTTGGACGCACAGCAGCAGTGGAAATCCAAAAAAAAAAAAAAAAATACCACACCGGAACGGCAGCTTACGTCCTAAAATAAATATTATTTTCACTGTTGATTCCTCATCGATTTTCCGATAACAGTCCCAGTGCTGTTAGGTTAGGTGCGCTTTTCAACACTGCATCGCGAGCAGCGAGAGCTAGCGAGCATAACAGCTGATTCACACTGTCATTGTGGAGGCGGCGACAGCGAGACCAAGAGCGCTGAGAGAGAGCATCATAAACTACTACGTGTGACGTGGTGGGGGCATACAGGTGGCAAAACAGCTGTTCCAACAGCAAAAGCAACACAGGGGAAGCAACAAGAAAATCGTATTTACTAGAAAAACTATCCATTATACGTAAGTACGCCGTGCTTGTTTCCTGGCCATACCCTATTAAGCTGAAATATTCTTCTAGAATCTAGAATCGGAAGCAGATACATAGAGAGGGAGAGAGAGAGTTAGATTAACAGACACATACACAAACAAGCAAAAGTAAGCAAGTTTTTTTTTTTTAGTGGTTATGTCTAAGACGTGCAGACAGTCAGCTTTGCATTCAGGACTTCTTACATCTAAAAAACACAATAAGAGAAATCTATAGCTAAGAGAGTGGCTAACGGATCGAGGCTGAGACCAATGCCAAGTGCGCACATTATATTGCAAACTTGTTTTCATTTATTTCTGGCCCGACACACGCTCCGCTTACAAAAACAACAACTAAAACCACTACGAAAGACAGCAGTGATACAAGGCACGTACTTGGGGCAAAGTGGCGAGTCAAGAGGCTGCCTAAGAGAGCAAAGAGAGTGATCTGGTTGAGCGCATTTCGCTCTCGTTATATCCAATTCGCCCATTGAGCGGTGTAACAAACGAGTGCACAGCAGAGAGCCAAGAGAGTAGTGCTCTCCACAGCAGCAGCAGCAGCAACAACAACTCTCGGGCCAACCACTTGAAAGCAACTCGTTTCGATTTCATTTAGCAGATACCTTTTGTACGTTGATTAAGATACCTTGACAAGCGAAGTGCCACACAAAAGAAGATGCAGATAAATTGCAGTAAAGCCTAACCGCACAAACCGTAATTAGAACTGATCGAAGGCAACGTGCAAATCCTCCGCGTATATCGCATCCCCGAATTCCAGTGCCAAATTCCAAAAACGTCGAAAATGTCTTGAGTAAAAGTGTCTCGAACGCGTTAAGCGTTTATAAGTACGACTGTGACTGTGTGTGTGCGTGTGTGTGTGAGTTGCACCCATACAATTGCAACCAAATCGAGCAGCAGCAACCAAAAGTGGTTTAAAAAGGCATTAAAAATTAACAATATTTCAAGTGCTCTGAAACTGAACTCTGAATGCGAATACGAGTACGAACGTGTGTGCGTGTGCAAAGAAGCGTTATATGCGATGAGTGTGTTTGCTGGCTACCACGAACGCACACCTCAGTAGTAGGCGATAGACGTACTTGTGTATCTATGTGCAACTAATATAGCTGTGGACAAGAAAGAAAAAAAAAATATAATAAGCGGCCAGAAGAGCCAGAGCAACAGTAAAATATATAAAAATCAGCGTACGAACACAGATGATTTTTTAGCAAAAAAAAACGAAAAGAAAAAAAAAGATCGACCAGCAAGCAACAACAAAAGCAGAAAGGGGGGAGAAGCCAATCAAAACAGCAGTTGTCTCGCTTCAACGCGCTCGCACTGATCGACGACAGTGTGACAGCAAGGCAAGGAGAGCGAGAGAGCATCAGTCACGGACGTGTGCGAGCAGCCAGCATTGATTTGATTGCTCGCCTGCTTTTGCTTTTGGCTTTGCGCTGTCTTTGATTTTGCTTATGGCTGACCTGAGAGCCACCTCTTACATACATATTCATCATCATGTGTATGTGCATTGAGCTCAGCCACTCACACTGATAGCTATTGGCACCTGGCACAGGATTTTACAACAGCAACAAAAAAAAACACAGTACAAGAAGTACCTACCCTCCCTACCTATCGACTACTCACCTTCCTTCCGCTACTTCGCCGCCGAGAAGAGACAACAAAAAAAAAAAAGAAGAGGGACAGAGCCTACATGCCTACCTTAACCCAATTAAAATACCATATTATTTAACAAAAGAAATTGTGTTATTTGCGAGCAGCACCCATTCGCAAAAAGAGCGAGCGAGCGAGCGAGAGCCAAAAGTGGGCAAAGCGAGAGAGAGAAAGACTACAATTGGGAGTGCAAATATGTACCAGAAGACTTTTGAAAGTAACCATACATATGTACATATATAAATATATATATTAAATTGTCTTCCATACGGAAGTGAAATTCTCAAGATAAACGCTTCAAATACAAAGAGAGTGTGCGTGCATTTGAAATCCAAAAAAAAAGAAACAAAAAAATACAAAAAGTTCATTTTTTTTTTATCAAAATCAAACGAAAGCAAAGTTTGCAGAGCCCAGCTTAAAAAAGAGAGCCGTTATATGTGTTTGTGTAAGAGAGCCCAAGAGAGAGAGAGCAGAGCTGTACATGTGTGTCACGTCTTAGCAACAACGTAAATTTCATTTACGATTACAACATACTAAACTATAGCATTATATCGCACAGAATCAACAACAACAACTATAACAACTACAACAAGATTCGAAAAAAAAACCCAAAGAGCGAAAGAGAGAGAGAGAGGAATATCCAGGCAGCTTCCTTCCGGACTTGAAACACTTCCAGGCCGTGTGCTTCCCCCCGTCCTCTACCTTCCCATACACCAAAACACCATATACCATACCCTTCCAGGCCATCCGTCGCCAATACATCCTCCATAGAGATCTGTACAAGCAACACTTCCTCCAGTGGGTATAGCACTTCCTCCATATCCAGATCCAGATCCGTTGGGTGTATCTATTGCGATCTGATTGGCGGCTAGCTGCGAGCACGTTATGACCAATTCGATTGCGTCGACGAAATGCCTGCCCAATGCACTCTCGACCGGCAACTATGGAATGTCCCAAAGACACCGCTACACCGACGATAGCAAGGAGTACATTATCGTCAAGCTCACCGACTCAGCCTTCCGTGCGATCGAGGAGTATCAGCGCGATGATCATGCCAAGCGCCTGCCGCCCGGCCAGCGGGCCAAGATCCAGTTTAGTGGCAACGAAGGCGTCATCCAGTTCCCGCGATCGTCATCAGATGCTAATGGCCACCACAACAACCCTAGTGCTAATGGCAACGGCAACGGCAACACTGGCGGCGACGGAGGTCGCAAGTTCCTCTTTACCATTAACAACATGGAGGGAACGCTCGAGTGCGTCCAACAGCAGCAACAGAATCTTGGTGTCCTCGGCGCCGTCACACTGCGGATGCGGATCCATGCGAACGATGATGTCTATGATACGACGCGCACAAAAATGGCCATTGCCGAGGAGACGGAGAAGAGCAAGTGCATACGGGAGATCAAGCCGAACCAGTCGGATATCGGGCGTAAGGTGAAGAAGCCGCCGTCCATGGTGAGCAGCAACACGACCTCCTCCTCCTCCTCCTTGTCCAGCTTTTCCTCCTCCAACATCGCCAACTCCAACTCCAATTCTGGTTCGACGACGACGGCATTTCATCATCACAACAGCAACAACAGCAACAACAACAACAACAGTGGGATCAACAACAACAACAGCAGCAATAGTTTTAATAGCAACAACCATAGTCGTAAGTTAGGTTCATCGCCATTTAATGGTCTAGGCGTAGGATTGGGAGGCGGCTCCGCCAACTCCTCCAACTCCTCCTCCTCTGCGTATGCATCGCGCTCCCCCAATCCCAGCATGCTGGGCGCCAGCGGCACAGTCAACGGTACTGGTGGTGGCTCCGCCGCCGGCAGTCGATATCATCATCAATACCACGGTGGAGCTGGTGCGGGTGCGGGAGCAGCCTCCTCCCTGGCCTCCACCTTCGCAAGCGGCATATCGCAGGGGTACAACCTGAGCGGCAGCTCCCCGAGGGATTCGGCGCAAGGAGCTACAGCGGCAGGATCGGCAGGAGGCCAAGGAGCCAATGGACGCAGCAGAATGCCGAGCGGAGGCAATGCATCCGCCAACAACAAGAGTGCCAACAACAAGTCCTCAGGCGGCAACAAGATGTCGGAGGTGTCGCGGCGGAACATCAGGGAGCGACTGGTCCATCTGCTGGCCCTGAAGGCCTTCAAGAAGCCGGAGCTCTTCGCCCGGCTCAAGAACGAGGGGATCCGCGACCGGGAACGCAACCAGATCACCAACATACTCATGGACATCAGTACCATGTCACACAACACGTACAACCTGCGGCGCCAGATGTGGAACGACGTCGACGAGAACTGGCCCTTCTTCAGCGAACAGGAGCTCCAGCAGCTGAAGCGCCGCAAGCCCCAGAACCTGACCCCCCCGATGAGCTCCGACGCGGGCAGCTCCACCTCCGGCCAGAGTCCCACCTCGACGCACACCGGCAGTCCACCGCCGCCCTCTTCCAGCGGCGGAGTCGGTGGCGGAGGGCCGGGCTCTGGGGCCGGGGGAGCGGGAATGAAGCGAACCAGTTTGGAGTACGACGAGACCATGTTCAGCACTGTCCAGCCCAAGAAGCAGCGCATCAGTCACTACAAGAAGGACACTCCGCCCTCGAGCACCTTCTACCCCGCCGTCTCCTCCGGGCTGGCCTCCTCGAACTCCTCCCGGAATCGGTACACGCCGCCCCAACGGCAGCCGGGTCCGCTGGACGATCACAGCACCGGGGATCTCAGCTACAATGTGCTGGAAAACATGGAGGAGTTCATGAGCTCCACGGCAGCGGCCACCCAGTCGACTGAGCAGCAGCACCAGCAGCATCCGCGGAGCAACAGCAGTCGGAGGAGCAGCTCGTCGCTGGGCAGCGGTAACAATGGCAACAAGGACAAGAGGAACTCGACGGGCAGCAACTCGAGCAGCTCCAGTGGCTACGAGACCCAGCAGGAACGGCAAAGGACCACCACCGCCATGTCCTCGTCCGGCCGCAACAGCAATTCCTCGCCCCCGAAGCTGTCGTACAGCTTTGTTCCTGCCGCCGCCTCCTCCTCCTCCTCCTCCTCGTCATCATCAGCTCCAGCCGCCGCATCCTCTTCCTCCTCTTCCAGCAAGCAGAGATCCCAGCCAGCGACGGCGCAGCACAGCAGTGGGAGCAAGAAGCGGACGAGTCAGAGCAATGGGGTGAATGGCCAGCGGCAGAAGAGTTCCAGCAGCTACCAGCAGGTGCCTCCACCCTCGAGATCCGCCCCCCAGCATCCGCAGCAGCCACCACCACATCATCAGCAATCCCAGCAGACGCAGCAACCACAACAACAACCACAACCAGAAAGGTATCCACCGCCGGCACAGCGGGAACACAACAACCATTACCATCAGCAGGCCAACAAGCATCCCTCGCCGACGCAACAGCTGGCGGCGGCGGCCCACGCCTACTCGCATGCGGCGGCGGAAGCGGACTCGGCCACGCCCCGCTACGACTTCAGCCAGTACGTGCCCATCCAGACGCTGGAGGTGCGGCGGCGCTACAAGACTGAGTTCGAGAGCGACTACACCGAGTACTGCAACCTGCTGAAGCGGGTGGAGACGGTGCGGAAGCGGTTCCAGGACCTGTCCGAGCGCCTCGAGGGAGCCCGGCGGCACGAGAACGGCTATGGGGACTATGACCACATCAAGCAGACGATCGTGAGCGAGTACGAGAGGATCAACAGCGACCACACCATCCAGGACGAGAAGCAACGCTTCGACTACCTGCACGCCAAGCTGGCCCACATCAAGCAGCTGGTGATGGACTACGATAAGACTTTGATGAGTGCCACAGCCACTGTTGCCACGGCGACGCCTCCAGCTCCAGCTCCGGCTCCAGAGCCGGTTCGGGAACGGAAACCGAAATCGAAACCGGAACGGATAGAGGTGGCGGCCGGGAAGCATCAGCAGCATCAGCAGCAGCGGCGACAGCATCATGCCGTGGAGACGATAGAAGCACATCGCCAGCAGCACCAAGAGCCACCGCCACCACACCACTATCAGGAACAGCAGCAGCATCATCCTCAACAGAAGCAGCAGCAGGAGAGCGACTCGGAGGACAGCTCGGATAGCTCGGACTCCAATGATGAGGACTCCAATGACGAGGACTGTGATGATTCCCACTCCAATAGCGATGAGGAGGAGCGCTACTGATCCACTGATCCACGGCAGGAACTACTTGGACAACCGCTGAACACCACCACCCCCCCAAATGTAAAAAGGCCAACCAGATACCAGATATCAGATACAAGATACTAGATGGAAGAATGGAAGGAACCTATCTTACAGATACTACAAACTATGATAGTGAAAATGCTACAAAAAACAACAAAAAAAAACAAACTAAGCAAGAAAATGGTTCTTAAACTACAAAATTGTACTAAAAAAACAAAAACCCTCAAAAAAATGTTGAAATTATGTTAACAAAACAAACAAAAAAACTAAAAAAACAAAAAACTTTAAACAAAAAATACAAAGTTTCGCGTATAAATGATTTTTTATTAAAATTTAAGAACGACTGCGGCTAGTGGCTGCTTTCAAAACTTCTAAATATATATACATGTGTATGTAAATATATAAATAAAAAATTAAAATTATAAATAAAAAAATAAAAACTAAAAACTATATACCTACGAGGAGAGATGAAAGCCAGGAGGAGGAATCACCGGACGAGCCGAGGAGAGTCGAGGAGACAAAATCAATATTTTTTATGGCATGAATGCGAAAACAAAAAAAAAAAACATTTATATACCAAGTTGTAGACTTAATTTTTTGTTGAGCATATATATTAAAAAAAAAGAGAAAGAAAGAGAAACGTGCAGCTTAAAATAAAAAAAAATGAGCGCAGGCATAAGTAACTAAATGAGAAAAAGAGAGAAGAAACGAATGTTTTTCCTTCCTTGCGTTTTGTGTAATAATTATTACTATTATTATATTATTATCAATTTTTAAATATAGCATGTATGTTTTTCGTTTTTAATCTAGACTCTTCTTATTTTTATTCTTGATTTTTGTTGAAAAAAAAGCAGAAAACGGCAAACACACCACTCTACACCTCACACACACACACACCTCACACACAACACCTCACAAATATTTGCATTTTTGGGCCTAGCTTTTGTTTTAGATTTTTGTGTAAAAAAAAAGATTAAAGAGAGAGAAATTAAGAGAGGGAGAGAGATTAAGAGAGAGAGAGAATGAGAGATAGAACTGCACGTGCCTAGGTCCTGAGATGGCCCGTCCTGAACATTAAGAGAGAGTGGGGGATCATGGTTGGGGTAGGAGTGGTGGGGTGGGTGCGAGAGCAGGTTTAATTAACTGATATTGAGAGCCAATGTTTGCCTGGGTCCTGGGCCTACTAAGATCCTAGCCATGTATGCCATGTCAGTGTATGATGATACTTGGTGGTGTGTTGCATGCGGGCGTGCCTCTAACAATAGACTGAACTTTTAAACGGCTTGTTAATTTCTAGCGGCTTGTGTAGTAGCTCCTTTGTTTAAACTATCATTAAAACTATAGTTAATTTTTGTTGAATATTTAATTTGTGTTTTTATTCAGTTTTGGAGTTTTTGAGTTTTGGTTTTTAGACAAGCTGCATATATTGCTCAAAATTACCAGAAAAGGACTATGTAGTTGGGAATGATGGTATACTTGATGGTTGTATCAGAGAGCTAATGCTAATTGGTTTTAGTTAATAGATCGTCGTCTCTAATCATGTTATAAATAGAAAAGCTTCCTTAAAAAAGAAAACATTTTTCAAAACAAAAACAAATCACAAAAGTCGCTTGAAAATTATCAAATAATTTGCTGAAACTCTAGTGTCCAAAAAACAACAAAAATAAAAAAAACCAAAACAAAGTTCGAGAATAAGAATTAATTAAAAAAATTAAAGAAAAAGAAAGTGGGGGGAAAGGAAAGAGGAAATTTTAGCTATTTCGTTGCAATATTTTTTATATACGATATTTAAGTAGAAAGAGGAGATAAGAAGGAGGAGGAGATAAAGAGGATAACCAAACGAAAGGGAAAATCAAATGGAACAATGAGATCAAGTTGCAAAAAATCAAGCGTTTAAAATCGATTCGTAGCAATTACAACAAACAAATAATACAAAAAATAAAAAAAAATCATATATACAATTTATATACAACAACAAGAAAAAACAAACACTAAAATATACACAAAATATATAAATTTAAAACAAAACAAAATCTATATATATATATATACAACATTGACATTTGATAAGCAACAAAAAAAACTTACTAGTTTTATATAAATGCCACGCCCACATACACACACACACTCACTCATACAGCCCAGAATACTATTACACGCAGATACACAGAGAGAAACTAACACAGCAATTGAAAGGAACTTATTAATGATAACGATGATTGTGTGTAAGCCGGATAGAGAATAGAAGACGAAAAAGAAGAAGAGTAAACCAGATCAAGAGACATGAGAAAAATATTATTATTATTATTGTAGAATTAAGAGCAAAACCGCTGACACGACCAGCAGAATGAAAAATCTTACAAAAAAAGAGATATTGTTATATACTAGTAATCTTAAGACCACAACAACAACAACCAACCAACAACAACAACAACCGAAAGAATGAGAGAAGAAGAAAAGAAAACTTAACAAAAAAAGCAAAAAATAGAATCAAATAAAATATTGAATCGAAAAAAAAAAATGGCATTTGTTTTTTATTTAAAAAATAATAATATATAATAATATATAAAAAAATAATATAGTATAGTAATATGCTACATAATATGGTATATAACACTATATTATGTACTAAATACTATACTATACAATAATATATTACTTATAAATTATAAGATATTTGAAAACATATCTTCTTAGACCGCGTACAGTGGCGGACAAAAGTCTACATACGACCCCCTTTTTTTTATGTTATCCACTCCTACAGCTTTTAGAGAAAAAGTAAGGATGCAGTCTTGTTTTAAATGTTATAATTATACAAAAAACAAAATTTCATTTTGATTCATACAAAACTTTGCATATTTAGGTATCATTTAGTACCATGGTTTTTCACTTAAAGTTGAGAAAATTTAATATGAAGCTTCTATAAATCATTGAAACAAATTTTTCTAGTTCTGGATTTACAGATTTCTAGATATCTTAGTTCTTGTTAGCTCTATTTAAGGATTTAGTTGGATTTAAGGATTTAGCTCTCAAAAACATTTTATGGAATTTGTTATAGTTATAATACCTTTTTTTTAATTTCATTAAGCTTTTGAATATTTGATTGAAAAGTCATGATCAAAGTCATTTTTTCAAAAAGTCATGGTCATCTATAAGAATTTTTATGATTTACTGAACCAAGCTTTCGAAGGGGCTTGTTTTCATCAAGGAAATGGTCCAAATGTGGAATCCTTATAATTGAAATAATATATTCTAATCGGAAAATCAAAGTCTGAAGGAACAAGTATCTTTCAAGATATAGAAAATCTACGTATTCGGTTTTTTTTTTCATTTTTAATTGTACGGAGGGGTGATATTAAAAAAGATCATGGCATTAATGGGTCCTTATACAAGGTCTAAGGAGACATACAGTTAAATATCCAAAAAATCATGAATTGAGTGATATTTTTGAGTAAAAAAGAATAAAAAAAAAAGTTAAAAATAATGATTATTAAAAATTATTATTTTTTCTCTCAGAGAATAATGATTATTTTATGATTTTTAAAATAAAACTCATAATGATAATGATGATATAAGCAATAATAATCCTGCTTATAAGCAATAATATATTCCTTCCCTCCCTAATACTACATATGTAATACATGTATTATGTAGGTATATCTTTTGAGAGCATAATCGATTCTAGATCTCGAACTCCACCTGGAACATGACCAGCGGTAATACCTCGCTTTTAAAAAGCGATCTTTCCGATAGGGCAACCACTAATCCCCGATATTTTATGAATTCTGATCTCTTTAGAAGAGGAAGAGGCTCAGGAGGACAATGCACAAGTGGCGGAGCTGTCCAATGATTCCGATGCGCCACTGAAACCGAATGTAAGTAACCCTTGGAAGGACCTCTTCAGATAGGTTTGGAGTTCAGAAACTAATCTAATCTAACTAATCTATGGCTTCATGACAGAATGACGAGGACGACGACTATGATCCCGAGGACAATCGCAAGAAGAAGAAGGGCAAGAAGCGCAAGACCCGCAAGGGCGAGGAGAAGGGTCGCAAGAAAAAGAAGCGCAAGAAGAACGAGAGCGAGGAGGACAGCGACTTTGTGCAGCACGATGAGGAGGTGGAGTACGCCAGCACCTCGAAGCGGGGACGCAAGCGCAAGGAGGAGAAGCAGGCCGCCAAGGAGAAGGAGTCGGCATCATCTGGTAAGTACAGCCTGGCATACCAACTTGGCTTACTGACTTTACTATCCACTCTCTAGGAATGCCATCCGTGGAGGACGTTTGCTCGGCCTTTAGCGTGTGCGACGTGGAGATCGAGTACAGCGAGGAGGAGCTGCAGAGCCTCACCACCTACAAGTCGTTTATGCAGCACGTGCGTCCCATTCTCCAGAAGGAGAACCCCAAGATCGCTGCCCCCAAGCTGATGATGCTGGTGGCGGCCAAGTGGCGCGAGTTCTGCGAGAGCAACCCGCACATCCAGCAAGAGGGAGGAGCTGCCGGGTCCGGGTCCGGTGGCCAGGGTGATCAGGAGGCGGAAGAGCCCCGATCCTCGCGGTCCTCACGAAACGAGAAGCCAGACGACATCTACGAGGAGGCCGCCGAGGAGGAGGAAGAGGAGGAGGAGGAGGAGAAGAAGCCGCGACGCAAACGGAGCGGTCGCGGCAAGAAGGGACGCCGACCCTCGGGCAAGGTGCCCACTCTGAAAATCAAGCTCGGAAAGCGGAAGCGCGACAGCTCCGACGATGAGCAGGACGCCAGCGGCGCCTCCGAACGGGACTCGGATCTGGAGTTCGAGCGCATGCTGCAGAAATCGGACGACAGTGCCGACGAGAAGGAAGCTCCCGCCAAGGCGGAAGCAGCGGCTCCGGCTGCCCAGGACGACGGATCCGGGGCTCCGGTGGTGCGCAAGAAGGCCAAGACCAAGATCGGCAACAAGTTCAAGAAGAAGAACAAGCTAAAGAAGACGAAGAACTTCCCGGAGGGCGAGGATGGGGAGCACGAGCACCAGGACTATTGCGAGGTGTGCCAGCAGGGCGGCGAGATCATCCTGTGCGACACCTGTCCGCGGGCCTACCACTTGGTGTGCCTGGAGCCGGAACTGGACGAGCCGCCAGAGGGCAAGTGGTCCTGCCCGCACTGCGAGGCCGACGGCGGAGCTGCCGAGGAGGAGGACGATGACGAGCACCAGGAGTTCTGCCGCGTGTGCAAGGATGGCGGGGAGCTGCTCTGCTGCGACTCCTGCCCCTCGGCCTACCATACCTTCTGTCTGAATCCGCCGCTGGACACCATACCAGACGGGGACTGGCGCTGCCCGCGCTGTAGCTGCCCTCCGCTGACCGGCAAGGCCGAGAAGATCATCACCTGGCGGTGGGTCGTGCGCACCGACGCCGACGGACCCAGCACCTCGAAGGGATCCAAGAGCAGCAACACCCGGATCCGCGAGTACTTCATCAAGTGGCACAACATGTCCTACTGGCACTGCGAGTGGGTCTCCGAGGTGCAGCTGGACGTCCACCATCCGCTGATGATCCGTTCGTTCCAACGCAAGTACGACATGGAGGAGCCTCCCAAGTTCGAGGAGTCCCTCGAC